GCGAAAGTTTGAGCAAAACATGCTAACTGTTCTGCCTTTGGCTGCACAGACGAGCACAGAACACTATTTATTAATTTTTTTATTTAATTTAAATTAACGCGTGTGTTTTTCAGGTAAACTTGTGTGTGAATGAGAACTTAGTTTAGTACTCACATGCTGTGACAGCCGCTGTGTGCCGGATGTGTGCACTCAGAAAACCGTATATCAGAAGTTTAAACTCATATGGTTTAAAACGCATGATTTCAGCGCGATAAACATGATAATCAGAACCAAAACAGATGTTTTTAGCAGGTCCGAGCTGTAATGGCGCAGCTCTATTCTGGAAAAGGGGGCAGGGAGCAGCAGCTCATTTGCATTTAAAGAGACAGGCACAAAAAAACATGTGTTTCTGCTTCCACTCAAAATAGGCATTTACAAAATGATATAACAAATGATCTGTGGGGTATTTTGAGCGGAAACTTCACAGACACATTCTGGGGACACCAGAGACTTACACTGCATATTGTAAAAATATGGGCATAATATGTCTCCTTTAAAATAAAATTAATGTCAATAATAAGTAAATAATAAGTATTTACAATCCATAAATAATGAGCACAATTTCTTAACACAATACCATTCTACAAGAATATGGTGTTATGTATTTGGCTGGTTTTTCTGTTGAATTATATATCTAATGTCCCTGTAGATTTGGATCTAATCAAATTATGGATGTGTTTTCTTCATGTTTTCAGGGCTGACTCATATTATTATTATAATCTTTAATCAAAATCCACTTCATATGGCTGATTCAACAACCCTCACCTTTAAAATAGCAATAGCAGATATTTGACAGCTACAATTCCCCACAATGTCTGCAGAGGCACTAAACCCGTAATCAGACAGACCTAATAGAAATAGAAACAAAATAGAATAGTAATGAAATATATCAAACAATATATACATCAACACATGACAGGCCAACAGTTTCAGTTGATTAATTTAAATACATGGAGATTAATTACAAAATACTTTGTGGCTATGAAAATGTACACTATTATAAGCAAAGATATGAATGTGAGTTGATGTTTTATTATAATTTGCCTTTTTTCCACAGTTTTTGCTTATAAAGCTTAAACCTCATTTTGTTAGATTATTAATGCTTAACACAGTTTGCCAATGGATATGAAAAACAATATTATTATGCAGCATTAGCATTAGTATCTAAGGCAATTTTCCTTCTCAAGCAAATATCTCGTTTTAAGGCTGTTCAGATAGTTTTACTCTAAAACAGACACACATACTAATTAGGAAAATGATATTTTGCAGTGAGTTGACATCCTCTTCCTCTACTTCCTGATTCATTTGGGTCTGTTTTAAATGGCCAATCAGAGGTTGCTAGGAGACTGCTTGAGTAATGAACTGTTGTCTGGGCCGAAGGCAACTTGAGTGTTAGATTAAATTAATCCTATTAGTGCTACTGAGTGATATGATGATCAGCTTCCCAGGTACAATCTTCCCGTTCATTTCCCACTCACACACGTATATTAATATGTCTGCTGGTGGACAGATTCAGTGTCGAAAGTAACACTGTCCGTCAATAAAATTGCAGTGACTTGGAACTCTTCTAGCTAGTAACTGGCAATAAATTGATGTTCTATTAGTCTAATAGTGTCAGTTAATGTCTGCTAACTAATGGTATTGATTAATAAAATGACCAATGTTTAATAAAACAGATTTTTGCTTCTAGTCCAAGAAACATTTGTGTTACCCAAAGGGAAATTTGTATTGCTCAAAGGATGCTCTTTCAGAGGTCAGTCAACTTAATCGAGTTTCCAGCTACGTTTAATTTAAGTTTCAGATATTACTCCTAAAATTCTTGTGAGAGAAATTAGAGAATTGCAATCAATAATCAGTAAGCATATACACTCTAAAAAATGCTGGGTTAGAGTTATACTTATACTTTATTGTCCTTTGCAGGGAATTTGTCTTGGACTCAAAGCTGCAGCAATACAAAACAACAACAACAACACTTTGTTAGTTAAAATACCATCACAATTACTGCAATTTAGTATTTAAAATCCTAATAGATACAGATATAAAATAATTCTTATAGTGGTTACCTCTACATAATGGAACTCTATAACGCTTCCCTGATGGCAGTAATTGATATGTTGAAAATAAAACATTGCTTGAATCACTTACTATTGCTTTCACATTCTTAAAAACCAACGACTCATAAATGGACTGAAGTGATGTATACTCTCTTACACCTAAGACTTTCATAGCAACTTTGACAAGACGTACAAGCTGCGATTTTGATTGAACTGAAAGATTGCCATACCAAGCCTGCATTCCATAGTTTAATAAACTTCCCAAAACTGCTTGGTAAAACAACAATGTGATTTCTGACTTACTCCGACAAACTTAAGTCTTCTTAAAAAATATGGTCTTTGCTGGAATCTTGAGCAGAGGTAATCAATGTGGGCTTTCCAAGTCAGTGACCACCCCAAGATACTTGAATGTATCCACTTGTTCAATAGTCTTACCTTGAATAATTACTGGACTGTAATCACCCAAACTTTTTGGGTCCACTATCATTTCCTTATTTTTTTTTCAACATATGATGTTTTATTAACAAGGTTCGGGAGGAGCACGATCAGATAATCAATCAGTCTGGCCCAGGTGGAGCTCGTCAGCTAATCACCTTAACAAGCACATACGTGTGTATATATACAGCCAACTTATCTCAGTTCCACTAAAGTTTTCCAGCATCCCGCCTCCACCCCAACACCTCACTACTATTTTAGTTTCCTCCCAGTCTTGGGATGGGATGGGATGGGATGGGATGGGATGTGGGGGGGAGTTCTCTGGGTTCGGGCTTTAACCTGAGCTCGGAGCCCTCCCTCTGGACAGCACGCCAAATATGCTACTAATTGCTTAATCACATTATATGTTAGTGTGAACTCGTGAATGACAATAAGGTGATTTACATTACACCACTGCACAAAGTTCCTAATTTCAGACTGATATTCTGTTATGTCCTGTTTCTTTCCTAAAATACTTAGTATTACAGTGTCATCAGAGTATTTACTAATATAGTTGTTCTTATTTCTACTAAAGCAATCATTTGTATATATAAAGTGAATAGAATCGGAGAGCATACGCAACCTTGAGGGACACCTATATTAATTGATTTAACAACAGATAGTGTATCATTTACTTTAACACATTGAGTATGATTTGTTAAAAAGGCAAAAAGCCACTTAATAATAAAAGGATTAACGTTAAGTTTTACAAGCTTGTCCAAGAGTTCTCTGAGTGTTGTAAAGTCAAGTCAACAACAGTATTGACAGCATCAACAGTCTCTCTTCTCTCCTTATAAGCAAACTGGAAAGGATCCAACAATAAATTGACATTGCTTTTCAGTCTGGACACAACATATTTCTCCAAACATTTCATAACTACGGATGTTATAGCAACTGGTCTAAAATCATTATTATTGGAAGGACCAGATTTTTTGGGAACAGGTGTTACAATGGACTTTTTCTATAACAGTGGGACCATATGACTGTCAAGTGATTACTGAAAAATCGGGCACCATGTCGGAATTAACTCCTCTGCACACATCCGCAAAAGATGTGCCGAAATACCATCTAGCCCGGTTGATTTCTTAGTACAAACTTTTACGAAAAAGTGTCGTAACTTCTTGAGGGTTCACAAATAATCTGGCTTGCGTACCACATTCAATAGTTTGTAAAATCACTTCACATTCACTGACAGGATCATTATTATCGAACCATACAAAGAACTCGTTCAGCTCATTTGCTTTCTTAAAATCATCAGTAGTGACAAAGAATCTTTGTCACTACTGATGTGACAAAGATGCTTTTTTTTCTTATTGATGCAGGCTTTCACTTCTTTTGTTATATGAGGCTTGTTGTTTAGGAACATCCTGACTTCCTTTTTAGGAAGTATTGTATCCACACAGAAACGAATATAATCAGTGGTCGTCTCTGTCACTGTGTTCAAATCTGCATCATAAAATACTGACCAATCTGTACTTAAAAAACACCCTCTTAATGCTTCCACATTTCCTTCATCCCATACTGTTACAGTCTTAACCAAAGGCTTATTCCTTTTCAAAACAGTCTTGTATGTTGGTATCAAATGAACTATATTGTGGTCCGATGTTGATAAAGGGGGTTTATGGGGGTGATGTTACCATAACATTTATCCAGAACATTATTGTTCCTTGTCGCACTTTTAACATACTGGAAGCCTGGTAAGAATGACTCAAGTTTACACTGGTTAAAGTCACCCGTCATAAGAACTGGAGCACCCGGGGGTTCGCTGTAGTTGTTTTTGAATACAGTCTGATATGCATAAGGCAGCTCTGGATGCATTGCCGTTAGGAGGGATGTACGCTACACACAATAAAATACTGCCGAACTCTCTCGGGAGATAAAAGAGAAGGTCTAAAACTTAGGCAGAGGTATTCCGCATCAGGATTACAACAAGTCTCTTTCACTGAGTACTGTGTGCACCATTTGTTACTCACGTACACACAGAAGCCTCCTCCTCTGTCTTTTCCCGAGGACTCCCCTCTGTCCGCCCGGATTAAAGAAAAACCTTCTATCTCCACAAGTGAACTAGGAATGTCCTTATGAAGCCAGGTCTCTGTAAACCCCAATAAACTTGAGTCCCGATACTCAAATCACGACCTGGTGTTAATAAAAACGTTCATCCATCTTAGTTCTAAGTGATCTCACGTTTCCAAGAATAATGGAAGGAAGAGGGGGCCTACTGGACCTCCATCTGAGCCGCTGTAAAACTCCCCCACATCGACCTCTTCTCCGGTGTCGCCGCTGTAGATCTGAATTCCGTTTCAGCTCCTCTGGCAAATCCACCATCGGATTTAGCTCAACAGATCGAGATGAGAGCAGGAACAGGGCTTCTCTTGTGTATGAAATGAGAGTTTGGGTCTCCCTGCACATAGTAGTTGATAAAAGCCATGGCAATAAAACATTTTCTAAATAATAAATATCCAAACGATAATCTGTGCAAATGTCACCATTGAATGGCTCGCTGACGTGCCACCATCCAAAGAATAAATAATTAAAAAAGAACAAACAGACAACATAAAACAGCATAAAACAGTGTAGACACGTGCTTCCACCGGAAAGTGTTTTATGCCACTGTTCTGACGATTTGTGCTACCCGCTCAGATTGTGCTACCTCCCATTAAAAAGATAGGTAGCACAAATCGATAGCGAAAAATGCTACCTATCAGATTGTGCTACCAGCATCTTATTCATGTGGTTTGAGGCTTTTACATTACTTTGGTAGCACAAACTGATAGGTTGCATGTTTCGTCGGTATACCACCTCTGAGCAGTTAAATAGAACCAAGTGCTGGGTAAAATATGGACAAACCCAGCAATTGGGTTGTTTTGAACCAGCGGTTGGGTTAAACATTTAGACAAACACAAAACAACCCAATTGCTGGGTTTGTGCATATTTTACCCAGCAGTGGGTTGTATGTGGGTTGTTTAACCCAGCATTTTTTGTAATGTAGAATTATGATAGGAAAATTCAGCATACAGCAAGTAGCAGTTTTGTCAATAGTTATACATTTTATTTTGATAGCATTAATAATGAAGCATGGCTAATATCTACCTCAGCTATTGCTCCTAAAAATTCCTTTGGTGGAATAGAAAAACAGACACATATGACATAATTGTTGATACAGAGTCATAGCATGTAGTTATAAAATTATGTTTGATAAAATAGCTCAGATAATCTTGGTTAAGTCTCATTTAAGTATAAACTTGTCTCAGACGTTTCTCTTAAACTTCCTATGGAGGAATATAAACACACAAATGACACAACTGTAGTACAGTTATAAAATTAATTTGAATAGAATAACTCTGTTGGATATTGGAGGCCTTGGTTATGTCTCAATTAGGTATCAGCTTGTCTCAGACGTCTCTTTTAAAATGCATTGCGAAAATAAAAACAGACACGAATGAGATAATTATTAATAAATAATAAACATAGTTACACAGGTAATTTTGTTAGCATTGCACAGATTATGGAGATCTCAGTAATGTCTCATTTACATATCAACTTTGTCTCAGATGTTTCTGCTACAAATCTGCTTAAAACTAATCAAAATAGTCATAAGAGGGGCAATTGCTGAAATGCAGTAAGAGTACAGAGCTATAAAACAACTGTGGATATCATAACTCAGGCAGTTCGGTAGTATGAGAATTTGCTGAGAAATGTTGAAATTGCTTTTGATTGCAGAATTTGGTATCTTGGCAAATTTGAGCACAGACATTGTTGAGACCCTTCAAAAACCCTAGAGGAGCAGTTTCAGATTACTCGGTCTTTTCTCTCAGTAGAAAGATCTGAGAACCAAGAGACTCATTGTCTCTCATTACTATGTAGAAGAAACAATCGAGATATTACAAAAAACTAATTTGTGATTGTTGTTTTCTACGGGTAAGGATTCATTTTACACTCCACTTCTTACAGTATTTACCAAGTATCCATAAGCAAGATGTGGCATAATAGAGTTTTCATGAGTTTTCCTGTAGCGTTATGTCTTGTATTGGTAGTGCTAGCACTGAGCAGTGATTAAGTTTTAGCGCTGTAGGTGTTTGTGCCATGTTCTGCTTTGTCACATTGCTGTCCCATCACAGCAATTTCAAAGGCTTTGCAACCATAGACACATAATCTGACTGGCATTACGGTTCCACATGATAAATGGAGCACTCGCTAAGAAAGAACATAGCTGATGGCAACCTCCAGAGAACATGTGACCAGTTAAAACGAGGAAATTTCGACTCCAGAGAATTTGCAGCTCTTCATTCGCCTAATGCCACACTCTGCAACTATAAAGAGAGATTTGTAATGCACTCTGGAATCATGCTTCAGCTGAACTCCAAGATTTTGCAATAAGGGCTCAAAATAACAAGGAACACCTGTACATAGTTTTTAAAAGTAAGAATTAAAATGAAAGTGACGTGACATGTGGCCAAGTATGGTGACCCATACTCGGAATTAGTGCTCTGCATTTATCCCATCCTAAGTGCACACAAACAGCAGTGAACACACACACACTGTGAACACACACCCGGAGCAGTGGGCAGCTATTTATGCTGCGTCGCCCGGGGAGCAGTTGGGGGTTCGGTGCCTTGCTCAAGGGCACCTCAGTCGTGGTATTGAAGATGGAAGAGAGCGCTGTACATTCACTCCCCCCACCTACAATCCCTGTCGGTATGAGACTCGAACCCGCAACCTTTGGGTTACGAGTCCGACTCTCTAACCATTAGGCCACGACTTCCCCACAAAATTGGCAAAGCTATTAACTGACCTACTTCATTAACATGACAGCTGGGTCACACAACTCGAAAAACAAATGTTTTCTATAAAACGATCATAAAGACTTTCAGAAATATGTTCTGGTCAAGATAAAACATTTAAATGTGTGCCACTACATTTTTGTTTACATTGGATCTTAGTAGTTTTGGATTTTATACTGACACCTGCTGGCCTGGAAGTATGACGTTTGTTTACTAACTGCTACT